GGAGTAAGAGGCACTAGGGTATTCACATTCATCTCCCATGTTATCTCTTCTTTCTGGAATGCTTATTAGTCAGATGTTGAGTAATGTTGTTTCTGGAAATTCTGTTCTTAGATGACAAGCTAGATGTTCACCTAAAGGGGAGTTACAGGATACTTTGAAGCAATAAAAGACAATCAAGTTATGCTACGTGGAAACAAATAAGATTCTTAGAGATAAGACACACCATTAATTAAAAAGAATATGGTAAGACAATACTTATACACCCATTCCTCATTTATTAACATAATTTGGTCGTTATGCAAAAATCAGCCTTATGTCAAATGGACCACATCATTACTTAACTGTCAAATTACATCATCACATGACTACCAAACCATGTTGATATCACAGCCCTGCCAAGGTGGTACACAGTCTGAATCATCTTAACTAGTGTTACCCATGCCTCACACCTCAGCATCTGACAGTCACATGGCATTTTTGCATAAAATTGTCCAGCATCAGATTTTTTACTATTGTCCTAAGTGTGAGATGTCAGATAATGAGAAGCAGGTATAATGCCGTTTATATACAATGAAAAGAAGAAACCCCACAAAGCAAATTTTAATTTCTGTATTTGTCGATGTTGTTAGAGGTCATTGATGTTGTACACCATGAATTGGTGACCCCATGTACAACAGGACGAAAATGTTGCTTAGTTCCAGCACTCTATTGAACAGTATTTCTGTTGTCAACTGTGGCCAAATTTCAGAGGTAGAACACCAGGCCTGTCTTCCTAGTCTGTCTTAGTCTCGAAACTCAGCTGAAACCTGTCCACCACGGTGATGCTGCTTGTATCTGAAATACTGATAACAGACCTTGTAGCTTCATAGCAAGAGGCAAGCCACCACAGTATGACAAACTGACAGACAGATGGGGATCTATGGTTATATGTGCAGAGACAAAGTTAAGGAAGGATGAACAGCAAACTAAAGGCAATGAGGGACTAGATATGGGTGGATGGGGAAATCAGAATTGGGGAAGAAACTTCAGGGACATTTTTCCCTTTGTGTTGTTACAATAGTTTGAATTGTTCTGATACTCTCACCTTGAAGTATTCTTTAAACTTTAAACCACAACAATCACCTGAAGCATCTTTAAAGCAGACAGTAAACCTCCCCCACAGCACCCTCTAAAAACCCCAAACTGCCATGGAATTGATCCAACTCACAGCGTCCCTATAGGACAGAGTAGAACTGCTCCATAGATTTACAGTTTTTGAGGCTATAAATCTTTATGGGAACAGACTGCATCATTTTCTTCCTGTGCTCACTGGCTGCTCTTTGGAAAACCCATACAGGGTCCCTATGGGTCAGAATGGACTCGAGGGCACTCAACAACAACAACTGCTCTAGTAAAGATTTACATTGTCTGAGCTGGAATCAATTCAGTGAGAGTAGGGTGTGGAATAAAATGCAGCTCACAAATGCTGCAGAAATAGTATCTTTACTACGGGGTGACGCCCTAGAACCGATGGGGGGCATTTACAACATTTATGGAGTCCTGGTATGGTGCTGTGGGATAATGTGCTAGACTATGAAGCCATTTGAACTTCAAGGTTGGTGGTTCAAGCTCACTAGTCGCTCCTCTGAAACCCTATACAAGGTGGCTATGGGTCGAAACTGACTAGATGGCACTTACCAACAACATGGTATACTTGCCATAGTCTCTACTGCTATCAATCGATTCTGACTCATAGTGACCCTGGATAAGGTTTCCAAGGCTGTAAATATTTACAGGAGCAGAAAGCCTCATCCATCTCTAGTGGAGCAGCTGGTGAGTTTGAACTGCCGGCCTTGTGGTTAACAGTTACTGTTTATCTTACAGTCTCACCAGGACTCCTTACACATCATATTAGCATTCTAAAATCTTTCAAATCCTAGAATTGGGCACACATCTGATATATAAACAGGTTTTCAAACTGTGGTTCTATCTGTAAGAAAAACTAAGATATGTTCCTCTGACATAATACTCACACAACAAGCATTGTTGTTGTTGTTAAGTGCCATCAAATCAGGGACTCATAGCAAACCTGTATTGGGTTTCCTAGGAGAGGCGGGTGAACTTGAACTGCTGACCTTGTGCTTCAAACCATCTTTGCAATCCAGCACATTAACCCACAGCGCCACACCAGGGCTACTATCGTTATGTCATGTTTAGCCTGGCCCATGTGGCTGTTTTGCTTATAGCCCAGAAATCCTTGTCACTTTCTGCATGTTTAAACCCAGGCAAAGCAGATGTGTCATCCTATGACCAAGTGTATAATGTTTCAATTCATTAAAAAAATTTTTTCTCATGTTGAAATATATGTAACAAAAGCTGTCTTTTCAACCATTGTATATCATTTTTATATATTTTCAGTGACATTAATGAGATAACTTTACCATCCTGTCCATTTCTAAAACTTTTCATCACCATCTGTCTTACACTGGGTTCTCTAGAGAAGCAAAACCAGTGAAGTTTATATGTGTATATATAAAGAGAGGTTTATATCGAAGAAATGGCTCATACAATTGTCGAGGTGGGAGGGTCCCAAGTTCTGGTCAGATGACTCACGATCCATCGGTCAGATGACAGGTAGGCAGGCAGGTAACAGAGCAGGTCACTGGTGCAAGTCCATAAACCCAGAGGTCAGAGGACAAGCCAGATGCAAGATCCAGCCACAGCAGAGAGCAAGCAAGCTTTGCCTGAATTTCTAATATATTGGGAGCAGGCCACACCTGCAAAGAAACATTCTTTCAATTAATTGGCTGCTCATAGCAAACCTCATCATAGAGTTAATTACATTAGATTAGATCTCAGCATGAGGACAACTACATCTCAACTGCCAAATGACTGAGAATTCTGGCCCAGTCAAGTTGACACACAATCTTAACTATTACACATCCTTAAAAACTGTATCCCTTAAGCAGTGGTCTTTACTCCGTTTCCTCCTCCCACATGCCTCTTTGTTGATGTTAAGTGCCATCTAGTTGGTTCCAACTCAAAGTGACTATGTATAGGGTTTCTGATGAGCAGCTGATGGGTTTGAACTGCTGACCTTGCACTTAGCAGTCCAGCTTATCCTACGACATTGCACCAGGACTTGCCCACCTGCCTCTGGTAACCACTAATAATGTTGGTTTCAATGAATTTGCCTACTCTGGATACTTCAGATAAGCTATTTGTCCTTTGTATCTGACTGATTTCACTCAGCATGTGGCAGCATGCATCAGAACTTCATTACCCTTTTTTTTTTTTTTTAAAACAACAACAACAACAACTTTTTATTATTAATTGAATGAAGGTTTACAGACAAGATCATCGATTTTACTTTCAACAACTCATACACTTTGTTTCCTTTCAATGACTGCAATCACGACATGCATTATTGAAAGGATAATTCAGAGTACAGAAAGAAAGAAAGATCCTAGAAAACACATACAAATGAAGCAAAGTTTGGGTTCAGTTTGAAAAACAATCTTCAACAGAAGCCTCTAGTATAGCGAAGTCCAATAGAAATACAATGTGAGCCACACATATAATTTAAGTTTGATAGTCATTGTTAGGCGCTCCTGAGTCAGTTTTCAACTCATAGCGACCCAGAGGGACAGAGTTGTTGTTGTGCAGTGACGTCAAGTAGGTTCTGACCCATAGCGACCCTGTATAGGGTTTCTGAGGAGCAGCTGGTGAGCTTGAACCACTGACCTTGCAGTTCAAATGGCTTTGCAGTCTGGTGCATTAACCCACAGAGCCACACCAGGACAGAGTAGAACTGCCCTAAGAAGGTTTTTTTCTTTTTTTCTTAGCTTTTACTGTGACTGATAGTTTTACAGGGCAGGTCATCTGCCTTTCTCTAAACAGAACTTCATTACTCTTTATAGCTGAATAATATTGCAATGCAAGTACATGAAGGTAAGTCAAGACTTATTGCTACAAAATTATAGAACATTTATGAAAGAAAAATCTCACAATTTGATGCTATTGTTTTCAACATCTCCTCCATCTATGTCTGTATACTTCTGACAGTGTGGTTTCTAACACTGTAGTCCTTCTCTGAAGAATTCTGCACTTTTGCATTTACACCAGGTCATATAATAGTTTTGGTATTCTTCAGGATCTTAAATTGTGTTCCTGTGAAATGTCTTTGAGTTTGGGCAGTAAAAAGAAATCCAATGTGGCAAGATCAGGGTTGTAGTATGGATGGGGTGAGGTTTCCCAGTGAAATTCTCATAGGACAGTCCTTGATACACTCAAAGAATAGCAGGTGCATTGTCATGATGGAACAAAATTTCTTGGTGTCAATTTCCTGGCCTTTTTCTCACTAGTGCAGTTTTCAATTTCCTTACAACTTCTTCCTAATTAGCTCCTATGATTGTTTTGTGTCTTTTGAGAAAATCTATTAAGATTATTCCTTGGGAATATTTTGAAAACAGTCATTGTATCCTTCTGAGCTGACCTCTCTGCCTTGAATGTAAGTAGCCCGGCAGATCTCCTCAGAACCCACTGTTTTGATTGGATGCTTTTGTTGAAAATATTCTATTGAGACTAAGACAAGTGTAATACTGTGAGAACTTGTCTACAGCTACCCACTGATCATGAGATGTCCTTACACAGATCTGCCTTGTAGCAATACTTTTTGACTGACATTAGTACACCACATTTTGTTTATCCACGCATCTGTTGATGGACATATAGCTTATTTCCACCTTTTGCCTATTATGAACATTGGTGTAAAAGTATCTGTTTGAGTCCCTGCTTTAAAATCATTTGTATATAGACCTTTGTGTGGAATTGCTAGAACATGTACTAGTTCTGTCAACTTTTGAAGAAACTTCCAAACTGTTTTCCATAGTGGTTTCACCAGTTGACATTCCCACCAGCAAAGGATAAGGGTTCCAGTTTCTCAACTCATTTTTAAATCAAGTCTTCCCTGTCTGTTTACCTTTTTGATCTTTTGTTGGTTCTCCCATCCCCACCTCCAGCTAGCAAAACATGGACTGAACATTGTGCTTATCAGTCGGACACTGGAAAAACTACAGGTCATAGCCATGGAGATTGGTAAGTGATGCCAAGAGATCAGGGCCGTCTCCAGCTTCACTTATATTCTTGTTGTGACGACCCATCCGGAAGTGCTCTTAGTTAAGAATGGTCATAATATTTTTATTTGGATATTTGAATTTTACTAAGCCAATTTCAGCACCTTAACTTAAGGGAATGAGTCTTCAGTTATGAAGTCTTGGGGATTTGGCTTCCTTGGGGAGATTGGGGACAGGAGACAGATGTGGGAGGTGTTGCAGGCTGTTTAATCACACTGCAGAGGCCCTTGGACTGATGAACTCTGCTTTTGTTCTGTGTCTGGATATCAGAAGTAACTTCAACCAGGATTAGGACATTCTTCAGTGTTTTCCTTCCAAGGCTAAAATGTGATTTTTATCATTCTCTTAAGAAGCAAGTAGTGTCTTTAGACTGGACTGAAAGCACCTCCCCCCCCCCCCCCACACACACACACACTAAGCTTTGAGATCATTTGGCCTAGAAATAGTGGGTCTAATTTACAAAGCTAAGAAAGCAGCAGTTAGTGAAATCTGACTGTAGCTTTTTTATTTGCCTGAAAACATCTGCACAGTACAAGCTAATATAGAATATTTGAACTTGCAGTGAACAGACCTGGTCCAAGTCCTGTATGTGCGTGTCCTTGGATAAGTTAGTTAGCTTCTCTGAACCTTCATTGTCCCTTCTGCAGAATGATGAAAATAATACATATTTTAGAAGGTCATGGTGGTGGTGTGCCGTAGTCAGTTTTAACTCATAGTGACCCTGCATAAGGTTTCCGAGACTGTAAATCTTTATGGGAGCAGAAAGTCGCATCTTTCTCTTGTGGAGCAACTGGTGGATTTGAACTGCTTATCTTGTAGTTAGCAGTTTAACAAGTAACCCACTACACCATCAGAGCTCCTTTAGAAAGCCATGGAGCCACCAAGCAGTCCAACTTGCACTTCACTACACTATCAGGGTTCCTTTTAGAAGGTCATGTTGTTGTTGTTATTGTTAAGTGCTGTTGAGTCAGTTCCAGCCCATAGCGACCCAGTATAGGGTTTCCGAGGAGCTGCTAGTGAGCTTGAACTGCTGACCTTGCAGTTCAAACCAACTTTGCAGTCCAGCACATTAACCCACAGCACCACACCAGGACTCCTTAGAAGGTCATTGTTGTTGTTGTTATTAAGTGCCGTTGAGTTGTTTCCGATCCATAGTGACCCTGTATAGGGTTCCCAAGGAGCAGCTGGTGAGCTTGAACCACCAACCTTGCAGTTCAAACGACTTTGCAATCTGGTGCGTTAGCCCACAGTACCACACCAGGACTCCTAGAAGGTGATGTTGTTTGTTTAAGTACCGTGGAGTCCGTTCCAACTCATAGTGACCCTGCACAGGGTTTCCGAGGCTGCAAATCTTTACAGGAGCAGAAAGCCTCATCTTTCTCCTGCAAAACAGCTGGTAGTTTCACACTGCTGAACTTGCCCAATTTGTAAGGTGAGATTAAAATAAGATTTTGTATATGAAGATATTTTATGAACTCTAAAGTATTGCATAAAATAAGAGCTACTTGGTCTGGTGGAAGGAACCCGCCATTTTTGAACAGAGGCAGCATCAAACATTTACATCCATTAATCCAGGGACCTCAAACTTGACCATGTGTAGGCTTCACCTGGAGACCTTGTTAACACACATGGCTAGTCCACTTTATAGGGTTTCTGATTCAGTAGTGGGGGTGGGGCAGGGGAGGCTTGGAGTTTGTATTTTGAATGGGTTTCTCAGTGGTATGTGGATCCCATTTTAGGAACCACTGTAAAAATCTCTTTTAATGCCTATATTTGTTACCATGGTAACTCTTAGAACCCATCATTCACAAATCTCTTTCACTACCCATTATTTGCACAGGGCTATTTCTTATTTCTAAGGAGCTCTGGTAGCATAGTGGTTACGAATTGGGCTGCTAATCTCATGGTCAGCAGTTTGAAACTACCAGCTGTTCCATGGGAGAAAGATGAGGTTTTCTGCTCCCCAAAAGATTTACAGCCTCAGAAACCCTGTACTGGGTCGCTATGAATCAGAACTGACTCCACGGCACATAACAACAACAACAATTTCTTATTTCTAATTTGCGGGGGGTCGGGGGGGTGTTGTCCAGGTTAGTCCTCTTAAGTGTCAGAGACAAGAGGGAGATTAGGTCTCTGGACATTAAAAAAATCACTGTTGTCTTGACTGCAGAGCGGGCTACAGGAAGGCGCGTGAAGATCATACAAGCAGATTTTACCCAAAGCAACATTTATGAGTATATTAAAGAAAACCTCAAAGGCTTAGAAATTGGAGTTTTAGGTAAGTAAATTGTGAAACACACAACTTGTATATGCCAGTGAAAGACTGACCCAATGACACTTGCTTATTTCATGGAAGTTTCAATTTAGCCTATGATTATATTTTAAACTATGTTAAATTGACTATAAAGCTCAAATTTTCAAGAGGTGTTACTGGATTAAAAAAATTATAGACAGGTTTGGAATGTATCCAACTTGCATATTTTTGACCTTTTTGGTCATGTATCCAACTTGCATATTTTTGACCTTTTTGGTCATATTTTCTAATATTAAAATGAATCAGATGGATCCCAAATATATTGGCCTGAAATAATTAGTTTAGTAAAGAAGGATTGCTATGGGTAATCTATGAAATAGTGAATAAGTGTGATTATTTAAAAATGGACTTGGTGATTAAAAAACAATATATATATATTTGTGATGGTTTATATGCCAAATGCCCAGTGTGTTGTTTGTATTTGCAAGGGGGCTTAAAAAAGTTCATGGAAGAATGCCATTATTATTTAATTCCATTTTTCCATGAGTTTTTTGAAGCTCCCTCATATGTAGACATCCCCCCCCCCCGTTGTGGCACTGTGCAAACTCTGTTTGAACCACAAGGTTGTCATCTCAAGGTCACCAGCTGCTCCTCAGAAACCCTATACAGGGTCACTATGAGAAGGAATCGACTTGACAGCACTTAATAACAATAACATATACAGGGAAACTGTGTGGTGCTCTAGGCTAAGCTCACTGGACTGCTAACCCCAAGGTCAGTGGTTCAAATTCACCAACTGCTTCTCAGAAACTCTATGCAGGTTCACTATGAGTTGGAACTGACTGGACAGCATTTAACAACAACAACGTTTATAGAAGGAAGTAAGGTGCATGCATGATTTCTAAAATTTCTGCTGAATTAAAAAATTGTTACTAAAAAATTATAAAACATATTGCAGAAGATTGGAAATAATAGCTTAGCACAAAAAAGAAATATAAATTTCTTAAAATCCCAATTTTCTGAGATAGCATTTTGTTGCATATTCTTCTAGGTATAATATGCACATACTTTCAAAACTAGAAATAGAGTTGTAGATGCTGTTAAGTGCTGTCAAGTTGGTTTCAACTCATAGCGACCATGCATAGGGTTTCTGAGGCTGCCCATCTTTGAGGGAGCAGAAAGTCTCATCTTTCTCCCTCAGAGTGACTGGCAGGCTCCAGCCACAGACCTTGTGGTTCACAGTCCAGTGCTTACTGTACGGAGCACTGCACTACAGGAAATACAGTTACCTACTGTTTTTAACCTTTTTCTTTAAACTTAAATCAAAATTGTTTTTTAAAATTATCTTTAAAATTCTAAGCAGCCTAACTTTTTAATGGCTGCATTGTGTTTACCATATGAATTCCCCATGCTTCCTTTAGTCTCCTCATTTACTATTGGACAACACAGTTTTTTATAATCGTGCATATGATTTTAATGCAAATTTCCTTTGGAAAACTTCCCAAGAGAATTCCTAGGTTTAAAATGACTATTTCAAAGGCTTATAATGAACATTTGCTGTCATTGTTAAGTGTCGTTGAGTTGGTTCCTACCCATTGCAACCTTGTATAGAGTTTCTGAGGAGTGACTGGTGAGTTTGAACTGCCGACCCTGTGGTTCAAACAATCTTGTGATCCAGCGCATTAACCTGCAACACCACACCAGGACTCCATTAGTCCGCTGGTTTTCTGACATATTTTTTCTTTTTCCTTTCTTTCAGTCAACAATGTCGGAATGCTTCCAAACCTTCTTCCAAGCTATTTTCTTAATGTGTCAGAGGAAGTTCAGGTAGACTTGTACTCTAACGTGTGGAGTCTCCTCTCACCGAACTACCTGTCCCATGGCTGGATCATCACCAGGGCCTGGGTGGGGGTAATGGGAAGTGTGTCTGGCCAAAACTTTGTATTCAATTGTGACATATTCCTTTCTTTTTAACTTAGTATTTGATACATAATCTGTGGTTCCACTTTTCATGCCATCTCTAGGAATAATACATCTTCCTCCTTGTCTGCATATCAGAACTAACTTGCTCACTGTCTCATACTTTCATGATTGAATTCCACATGGGAAATTCATAGTATAATCTGTGGCTTTCTCTGTCTTCATGTTGTTGTTGTTGTTTGGTGCCATCAAGTTGGTACCGACTCACAGTGACCTTATGCACAGCAGAATGAAACACTGCCCGATCCTGGGCCAACTACATTATTGTTGTCACACTTGGGTCCATCGGATGCTGCCACTTGGCCTATCTGTTGGGGGTCTTCCTCTTTTTCTTTTACCCTCCACCTTACCAAACATGATATCCTTCTCCAGCAACTGGTCCCTCCTGACAATATGTCCGAAGTATGAGAGATGAAGTTTGGCTATCCTGGCCTCTAAGGAGCACTTTAGCTGCACTTCTTCCAACTCAGATCTGTTGGTTCTTTTGGCAGCCCATGGCACTTTCAATATTCTCCTCCAACACTATAACTCAAATGCATCAATTCTTCTACTGTCTTCCTTATTCACTGTCCAGCTTTCGCATGCATATGAGGTTATTGAAAATACCATGGCTTGAGTCAGGTGCATCTTAGTCCTCAAGCTGACATCTTTGCTCTTCAACACTTTAAAAAGGTCTTGTGCAGCAGATTTGCTTAATGCAATACGTCATTTGATTTCTTGACTGCTGCTTCCATGAGTGTTGATAGCTGATCCAAGAAGAATGAAGTCCTTGACAACTTCAATCTTTTCTCCATTGATAAGAATGTTGTTTATTGGTCCAGTGGTGAGGATTTTTTTTTTTTTTTTTTTTACATCGAAATGCATGCTGTCTTCATAGGTAATAAATAATATGTGTCCAACTTTCAGTGTGAGGGAAGGTGAGGTACTTGGAAGTTCAGCAAACTTGACTCAGACCCATGACTATCACTGTTGGTCATGATAGCATTTTATGCATTTAGCAATTCTGAAAGGTGCTATTTTGTTGACCTTTCCTTTGAGGTTAGATGATGATTACAATTCCAATTAGCCAGTCATGGTTCTATTCTTCATTTACTGGTCAAGTATCACCTGCAAGTATTCCTATGGTCTTGTTTAAGCCATGGGCACACTGTGCTGGCATATATGTCTGATTGCTTGAATATTGCTGTCACATCTTTGCCAAACTCCTCTTTTGGCTATGTATTTAACCTCGCAGCCTCTTATTTTCAACACTTTTCTGTTTTCATTCATGCTTTGCTTCCTCTATTTATTGCCTGTTTGAGTGTTATCTGCACTTGTCCCTGTGTCTGCCCCTTGTTCTCGGACAATTCTTTTAGTTTCCTTATCTTGCTTCTATACTCTCTCCCTTGTATTACATGATGATTAGTCTTTCTATTCTCTATGCTGTTGTCTTCTAGACCCACATATGCTTATTCCTCATTCTCCAACTGGAAGTTAAACATTTCCCTTTGAAAAACTCTGTCCATACACCTAGCTCAATTTCTAAACAGATTCTTATTGATTTTGATGTCAAATGACACACTTATAGAATAGATGTCAGATATTACCCAATTATGGTTCATACTCTGAACATCAATTCAGAGCCCACTCTACACACTTGGTGAATGATTGTACCGCTGAGACCCGCACTTTTGCTCACTGCCTGGTTCTTTAACACTGAGTACTCCCCAAGAGAATTTCTCAAGTGATTAGGCTGATTCATGGTTGTGATTATTTATTACAGAGCCTCATCCATTGTAACATCACCTCAGTAGTCAAGGTATGTCATCAATACATGCGCCAAATGCATTAAACATAGTAGCTGCTGGAATCTGACAACTCAGGAGAATACGTTCTACAGTAGAAGCAGCATTCTTTGCAATTGAACTGCACTTGATTGAGAGGCTGTTTGATCCTAAAATGATGTTCTTCTGATTTCATCAGGAAAAGACAGTGATGGAGTCATTCTCCTTAGTTTCTGAATCCTATTTGTGCCTTCAGCTTTGTCACATGTCGGTATAAGTTAGGCCTGACAATGCTGATACTTATTCAGGATTCTAAGGCACTTTAAAAAAATTGAATACCTTCCTTTAATTTCCATTTTTGTATATAGAGAAAAGCTTGCTCTGTTTGGAAAAATGACACAGGGCATGACTTAGATTTCCTGGACTTTAGTTGTTCCATAATTATTTGTTGAATTGAAACTCAAGTTCACTTGTATTCTGTTCCCAGTTTGGGTGTTAACTAGTTAGACAGCCTTGGACAGGTTATTTAACCTCCCTGAACTTCTGGTTCTTACCTGTTATTAAAGGGGGCTTGAACAAACTGATGCTTTAGATGCCACTCAAAACTCAGATCATCTGATTAGGATCAACTGTAAAAGCCCAGTTACACCAAAGCTATCCTGTATTCTGCCTTTTCACTAATAAGGAAAATATACCCCAACTGGGCAATTTAGGAAAAGTGCTTCATGGACACAAAGTGTCTAGGTAGTGCAAATGGTTAATGCATGCAGCAGCTAAGTGAAAAGTTGGCAGCTTGAATTTAGCTGGAGGTGCCTCTGAACAAAGGTCTGGTGATCTGCTTTCAAAAGCTCAGTCACTAAAAGTCCGATGATGCTTAGTCCTGCTCTGACACACATGTAGTTGCCATGAGTTGGCATCAACTTGATGGGAACTGGCTTTTGATTTTTAAATGTGGACACAGACTGGTAGTACACTGCATACTGAATAGATGATGTTTTTCTGTGAACAAATGTTTCCCGTTGCTCTGAGTGGATAGAGCCCTCTACTTCTACCAGAGCACAAGTTCATAAGGAAACCCCACACTCATCTCCACATCTGGGACACTTGTTCTGTACAAAAGCTTCACAACTGGACATGGCAGCCTGGTAATCAACCTAGAAGGCCCATTGGAGCTGCAGTAATGAGCAAGGTATGGCCCTGGACTTCATTAAGTTGGGGCAGGAGAGGCTAAGTCTTACTCATTTGCACAACACAGGTGGATAGTAGAGGGAGAGCCAGTCCAAAATTAGTTTGTTTTCAACATAAGAAGAAGACATGGATTGTTGGGCAGGCCAGAAAAATTTTTTCTTTTTTCCAGCTGGATAAGTTAGGCTGACAACAATTCTTTTCACCATTGGTCATTTCTAAGCATGCTGGTATTTTATAGTTTCCTGCTCAGTATATTGGACACATACAGTCTTGTGTATATTGGACACATACAGTCTTCTTATGCTGAGCAATCAGTGGGTTTTTTAAAGCCCCAACTGATGTAATTTTAAGTTTTATATGTCCAACTGTTGTCTGCAGCCTGACCACTGAACATTTTCATGGTATTTTGCACATTGATCTTTCAGTCTTGGTCCTTTGATCACAAGGGTTTCCCAAATGTATTTGACAACTCTCTGACTTCTTTAGCAGAGAAATGCTTTGATTTGTTAAAAAAATTACTTCATATATTGTTAGATATTAACCTTCCTACATAACAGAGAAAATAATTTGAAGGTTAGCTTCAAAGTCTGTCATGCCCTAATTAGCCATGCTGGTTGGAAGCATGTTCCCAAGGAGCCATCTGGGATTAGTAAGGTTCTCTCTGTCAAGAGCAGAGATGGGAAAGTGGGTGTGTGGGCAGAGGGAAGGTGGGATAAGAGACCAAATGCTGAGAGTATTGAGATGGGGATCCACTAAGAGTGATCCATCATGCCATACGCTAGTGACCACGTTACGGAAAACGTTGAGGGAATTTGGGTACTGTCCCCACAGTGCTCTAACACCGTTAATACAGTGTCACTCACCCTTCTCTTATGTCCCTTAACATTCCATGTTTCTAGAGGCAACACAGTGGGCTCTGGGCATCTCCCCCATGCCCCCCTGTCCTCCCCACCCCATAGCCATGAAAGCACTATCTTATCTGGAGGCTTTGTAGACAGACTGAGCAGCTGGGACATGGGAAGTGGTGGCAGGGACAGAGCCTACCGAGAAGCTATGCAGGGCCCTAAGCCAATGTGGAGAAAAATAGGTCCCCAGTCTCCTTTATTTCTCTTCCCTCCCCTGTCCTTGGTTTATAACTTGCTCAAAGGACAGGACCTGATTCCAGTCATTTATACTTTATAGAACATTTCAGTTCATGGGTTTGGCTCTTAATTCTTAAAATGTGGGCCTTCCTTGTAATGGTTAAGCACAAAGTTTCTTTAGTGAGATAGCTAGGCTCCAGAACTGGCAGATAAAGACCTTTTCAGGGGCCAGTAAGTTGGGAGGCATGTTGTTATTCTGACAGGCAGCAACCACATGGTCTGTCCATTGAACTATTTCATAGACTACCTGCCATTGCCATTGTTAAATTGACTCCTGTTCATGGCAACTCCATGTATACCAACCTAGAACTCCTGCATGGCTTTTTCAATGGCTGATTTTTTGCATGAGATCACCAGGCCTCTTTTCCAGGTGCCTCTGGTTGGACTTGAACCTCCAATCTTTTGGTTAGCAGGCAGGCTACTTCGGCTGCTGGTTTTGGAGAGCAGAAATATCCATCTCTATCTGATTAAGAGTACACTCAAGACTTTCATTGGTGCTTGTGAGGTTTCCTGATGATCTTCTGATTCTAAATTATGGATAGGGTTTAGAATGGCTTAATGACTTTTGTCTGGTTCTCAAAATAGAGAATCGTGGAAACCTCAGTGTTGATGCCTTAGCCGTAAGACAATCCTGATTTGTTTTCTGCCCTTATTTTCCAGGAAAACTTTAGCTTTGTAAGGAAGAAATGAAAAGTCTTGTGAACAGTTTGTGGCTTGTCTAGTTGCTTCCTATGTGTTCCAAGTAGGCTTCAGTATTGTCAGAATGATCTCCCAGAAGAGGCAAGGCCATCTGAGAAGATTAAGGTCTTCCCCCCAGCTTTCTCTAGAACCTGCTCCCCACTTAGATCCCTTGTCAGCGCGTAACTCTGGTCTTCTTTTGTAGATGACTCAGCTGATTCTGAAACAAATGGAATCAAGGTAAGGCCTTCCTTTAAAAAAGCACAGAGTCATGTCTCCCTGCTCAGGCCAGGAGGGTGGGAGATTGGGTTCATTCTGGCTGCTGCTTGAAACAGTGGTAAAATCAGAGATGGAAGAAAAATGAAAATTAATGGGAGGAAGCTCTAACAATTCAAGACAATTTTGCAAACAGATAATAAACATATTTGTAGGCCAAAATGTAATGTATCTTCCAGGGAGGAAAAGAATGGCAGTTTCAGCACACATTAGATGAAAAACAACTTACTCATATTGAGCATAAAAGAAATTTCAGTAGTTGACAGACTGGGATTATCGCTATATGGTTGTGAATTTCAGTTTTTGTTAGAATGAATTATACAATTTAGTGGTATGCTATCAGTTTTCTTCAGTTATTCCATTTTTATATCTTCCTCAGCCTGCTATAACACCCACTGGAAAGTTATTTTTTAATTTGAGAGACCAGATTCGGTTCCCAATGATTGTACCTCATTGCAGTCTTGAGGCTTAAGGTGGCCTTTATTAGCAGCTCATGGATCACGGAATACCATTCAGGGCAGTGCTTTACCATTGGTCATCTGTGCTGTTGTGGGCCATCTGATGGATCAGAAGGGATCTTAGGCCTCCCAAAGTCATCTGTGAGGGGGAAGAATTCCTCCTTGAATCTTGTCCAAGCTGAGTTGGTTATCTGAATTTTGTGGAGAGATCTGTATTTCTCTTTCCAGTAACAAGTCTTGACTGTGCAAAGGAATGCCAAGAGAGATTTCATCATGAAGGTGGCATCAGCTAGCCTCTGATGTCATCTGATGATGTAAGGAAGCTCTCCATTCACCATTCTGGAAACAGAGAGAGCACTTGTACGCTTGCAAGCCTAGTGAGCAGGGTGTTTTCAGAGAGTTCACATGAGTCTCTTTGATTTTTTTCTACATGAGATGGGGTCCTGAAACAGACCAATCAAAGTTTTGTTTGTTATTTAGGCGGAGAGGACTCATCTTGAACATTTCTTCCGGAGTAGGACTCTTTCCTTGGCCTTTATATTCCATGTACTCAGCATCCAAGGTGAGTGACATCATCAAGGCCAAGTGTCTTACTCCTTCCTGTTTTCCTAGTTGGCATTTTCCTTTGTATTACTTGGCAAGTTTATGACTAGACTGCTTGGTGATACACTTACACAGGCTTACCTTGGAAACTTTGTGGGTTCTCTTCCAGACCACTTTAATAGTGCAAATATTACAAGAAATCGAGCCCCCAAAATTTCTTTGTGTAAAAGTTTTATTTAAACAATACTGCAGTCTATTAAGTGTACTTATTACCTTATGCAAAAGTCTGAAATTTTGTGAGAATTACCAAAATGTGACATAGATATGAAGTGAGCACATGGAGAAATGGTGCCAATAGACTTGTTCAATACAGGGATGTCCCACATCTTCAGTTTGTAAAGAAGCATTAGAAAGTGAAATAAAAGTAAAGTGCAATAAAAGGATGTGTGCTTGTGTCTGTAGGGCAGAGTGGCCCAGAGGGGTCTCTGTGCAAATTAAGACAAAGTGCTCCCTCTGGAAAGATGAAGGCCTGCAGCAGCACTGTTTGGCAAGCCCAGCCTGAGGGTTCCTTTCACCCTGAGGGTTCCAGTTCTCTTGGCAAGCCCAGCCTGAGTGTTCCATTCATCCTGAGGGTTCCAGTTCACTTCCTTGGCTAGAAACTCTTGGTGTCTTCCTGCTGATAAGTACAGTTGTAGCTTCCTTCCAGTCCTGAAGGTTTAGCTGGTGTCTCCATGCCTAGTTACCCAAATAAACCCAAATGCTGGGGGAGAAGAGGGTAAATGTGCTTTACACAAGGGAACACTTCGACTGGGTAGTTTAATCTGTGTTCAGTGACCCTGTTGCTTTTACTTGCCACTCATGGCAACCCCTTGTGTTGCAGAGTAGAACTGCTTCAAAGCTTTCCTTGGCTGTAATCTTTACAGAAGAGAGCTAGTGTGACACTATAGAAAAAAACTGGACGGTTAACCAAAAGGTTGGCCCTTCAAACCCACCAGTCACTCCTTGGAAACCCTTTACAGGTTTGCTATGAGTAGGAACCGTCTTAGTGGCACTTAACAACAACAACAACAACAACAACAATCTTTATAGAAGCAAAATGCTAGGCCTTTCCTCTGCAGAGTGGGTTTGAACCCCAACCTTTTGGTTGGCAGAGAATCACAAACTGCTTGTGTCACCTAGGCTCCGTTGCAGTGACCCTGTTGTTTTTGTTAGGTGACATTTTCAACTCATAGAGACCCACTGCAGCACAGTGACCAGTATGTAGGGCTTTCTAGGCATGTGACTTTATGGGAAGAGATCTCCAGGTCTTACTTCCAGTGAAAGGCTGGTTGGGTTTGAATCACCAAACTTTCAGTTAGCAGTTTAGCATTTAACTGTTAAGCTACCAGAGCTCCTTGCAGTGGCTCTTTGCTATTGTTGTTAAGTTTTGTCGAGTTGGTTCCAACCCATAGCGACCCTATATAGGGTTTCCAAGGAGCAGCTGATGAGCTTGAACTCAACACCAATCTTGTGGTTCAAACCAACCTTGCAGTCGAGTGCTTCTTCTATAACACCACACCAGGTATGAATTTATTGCAAAATGTATGTTCTCATTGAGGGAACCCTGCCCGACAAAGAGAGGGAAATATCTTGGTAGACATGAAATACTGACTCCTCTTAAGATGAATTGCTGCTTTTGTAGTGCCTTTAAAATTTGAGTCCATTGGCTCTGACAGGAGAAAGCAAACTGCTGATTCTCAGGTGTCTTTCTCTTTGTTGCTCCAGGCTTTTGTGTGCGTGTTTTCCAAGGCACTCCAAGCAGAATATAAAGAGAAGGGAATCAGCATACAGGTGAGGCCAATAGTTCTGGGGAAAGGAGCACTGTAGAGCTGGGGTCTCTGTCTCCTCTACCACACAACCTCATGGTAACAGCAGTAGCCTTTGTAGTCCTGGCTGTGGCAATTGCTCAGTCATGACCCGGCTGCTGGAGTGGGCACTGGGGCTGGGCAAGTGGCTGCTCCTAGGTGCTGTTAACTCCTTTGCTTCCAGAAGCTGCACTGACACACAAGTTGGGCGCTTAGCTCACCATCCTTTGACTCATGTGGGTGGAGGTGTGGAGCTGGGACAAAAAGAGGGGAGGAACTCTTAAGTGTGTGTGTGTGTCCTTTGGGTCTGTGCATTCCCATGTTCTGATCTTTGGGCAGTGGGAAGGCAGATTCTTACCCCCTTTTACTTACACTAGCAGAGAACTGCCATGGCCTCACCTTGTCCTAAATTACACACGACACTGGCTTGACACTGCCACCTGGGGGTGGAGCAACACTGTGTCTCTGAGTGCCAGTGGTGTACATATGCTCAGTTCAGCAGCAGAGTTAGAGTTCAGTCATTTCTGGGCCCAGAATATGTAATTTATAGGAAGGTTTTATTTTTGTAATTTGGGAAGAAGTTTTCTGACATGCTATAGAAATGAAAAAGGCACACCTGAAGTTATATTTTAAAATGTATTGTTGTACATATTGATTTTCATAATGACATGGGGTACAAGAGATATAATACATATAAATGATATACAGACTCTTTATTAAGTCTTAAACAAAGTAAAGATAACACAAAGGCAAACACAGACACCATAATTAGGTTCCAAAGTTCTGTCTCCACGTGGTGACCTTTTATAGGCCACAGGGAACAAAGGAATCTCCTCCCATAATCATGACTGACAGCATCAGCCATGAGTTACACTTTGATGCTGGGCCTACTGAAAATAAGAAGGGGACTATTGCAGAAAGGAAAATTTATAGTCTGAGGGTCTCAGGGTATGACAGCACAACCTGGCGACTATTAGGTTTCTCTAGAAGAGTTCCTGCAAGCGCTCGCTGGGGAACGTAGTCTCCAAACTCACTTTCTTTTTTTAAGGCTTTTATTGTGGATTGAGTAAGAGTTGACAGGGCAGATCATCAGTGTTACATTCAACAAATCATACACCTTGTTTCATTACAATGATTATACTCCACTCCACGTACCATCAGTTAATAGTATTTCTCTCTATTCACGTTAGCTTTTTTTTGAAAAAACTAGAAACAAAAAACACTCAGGCATATATAATAAAAACTCAGGCATACATATATATATAAAAAAAACAAGAAACAAAAAACACTCAGGCATAAAAATGTGCCTCCAAAGGGCACATTTTGCAAGTCTGGCTCCTGGCCACCAGCTCTTAGTCCCTCTGTTCCCATGAATCTAGAGTCCTCAGTGGCTCCCTCTCTCTATGTCCCCATCACTGTCTCCGTCACTGGCATTCGGCTTGTGCTCTTCTCCCTTGATGGTCCTAGGGTCCTCTGTTTCTGGACTGTAAGATTAACCACTCTCCTACTTTTGCTACAAAACTTCTACCTTTATAATTGTGAGTGTTGCAATTAGTCATGATAACAATTATTCACTACTGAATCATACAAATCTTATCCCCATCTGTTTTAACCAGACCCATCTAGACAAGAAGAAAACTATTCAGTAGGGACTCTTTCTCCCTGCCCCACTCTTAAACTAAAACTCCTTCTTGAAACCTTGTAAGTCAGTCACTTCATGCCTTTACCACCCCCTCATTTTAGGTAGCCAGTGTTTAAGCTGCCCATACCTATCTACCCTGGGTACAGAGGGGATAGCATTGGTACTTGATATGAAGACTCCTTCCCTCTCTGTTCATATTTAGAGGTACTACCTCCATGAATAAGGAGTTCTGGTAGTGTAATCGGGCTGTGAACCTCAGGGTCAGCAGTTCGAAACTACCAGCTGTTCTGTGGGAGAAAGATGAGGCTTTCTGCTCCCATAAAGATTTACAGCCTTGGAAACCCTGTACAGGGCCGCTATGAGTTGGAACCGACTCCACAGCACATAACAACAACAACAACAACAACCTCCATGAATATAGGTCAGGTTCATCAAATTGTAGCAATTTACCTTGTTTCCTTTATCAAAAAACTTTTTTTTTTTTTAATCTTCCTCTAGTTGAGTTCTGATTATCAAGCCATCGAGGCTAGGTCAAATGGGTACTCTCTGCAAGTTTAGGTGTTCTTTTGCATCTCCCCTCACTTCATATTAGCTAGATACTTCACTCTCAGCTCTAGCCCCTGTGGTCATATCTTTGTCCATGGGCTCAAGTGTCCCGAGATCTCACCACACTTTGGACCAACCAGCTCTTACACTTCTCTCTCTCATCTCCAGGCCAACATGAGTCAATGGACTGTGGTTGAACTCAGCCCATTTCTTCATTGCTGCCTTTCTCCCTCTTCCACTCACCAGTAGACCATTATGGTCACCAGCATGCTTACATGTCTGTTCATATGTTCCCTTTGAATTTCAGTCTTAGAGGGGAGTTTGTCCTGAAGGAATTTGATTGCTTGCCTTGATGGCTTCCTGGAAAACAGCTTGCTTATTCTTGTAATAGTCAGTCATGCTGACATTTTTGTTTTGGGTTTTTCTGGATGATCT